CGAAAGATTATTTCAGAGTTTTTAAAGGTTATAAGTGGTTTTCTTTGTTTTGTTGCCTTCATAATGAGTAAAGTCTTGATACAATATTATCATGTTAAGCTTGGAATGATGGTTACACGTCTTCTCGCTCACTTCCTCAACCAATTTATGGGTCTGTTATCACAAGAGGTATGCCTCACCCTAATAAGGGTCACATCACTGCCACGTCGCATGCACAGTTTTCGTGCATATGTCCCTGAGTCCAATTCCTAATACTCGTGCATTAGTCGTTATTTAGTTTATTCTACTTTTCGCCGTTCAACTGCATGTTAGCCGAAACATATCATGATTTCGAAAGATAAACACCTACTGTAGTAAAGAAACGAGTCGAAAGATTTGGGGGCGAACTGGTAAAGGTGGGACCAAGCTTGTTTTCCTTTAGGGAGCGAACTATTAAAGGTAGGAGGGGCAAACTTGCAGTGATGCAAAACCACCCTAATTAAGTGACTCAGAAGTTTACAATTTCATTATCTCAGTCACCTCATCAGGCCGGCTAAATAAAAACAACGGACTGTATGACTCATTACATTCCATTTGGGACAAATAACACGTATACCGTCAAATCTGATGTGAAATACTTGATCGAGGGGCGAAATTGAAGTGCCTCTATCTCATGAGCTAGTAGCAGATTGAAGACAAATGACAATGTCTTATCTTCCATCAATGGATTGAAAAAAAATGTCACGTATCAAAAAGCTACTGTTTGACGCCATCGATGAAGATCAAGAGCATGATAGGAATGGGCAAAGAATGAATCAGAGTTCTAAAGCTTAATTCGTAATTGGGATATACTCTCTTATCCCGGTTACAGTTATCGTAAGTAAATTATTATAATGAAAACCTGATGGGAATGCACGAGAGAGGAGAATTTCCCCGCTAAGAGACATCACGGAATACATGTCGCTAATTAATTTTAATTGACCCAATTCCCGTCAACTATCTTCAAAAAGATAATGTGATAAAATGCTCTGAAGTTTTAAGCACGTTACGCACCGAATACCTTAAAATAAATTCCCAGACGAAAAATTTAAAACGATTTGTGTTCACAAAGATGTTTTACCAAAGTTCGTCGCCTTATGAAACCATGGCACATACACATTTCAATTATAATTTAGTAACGCTACATCCAGAGTAAATGAGATGGATTTTAATACGGTCAGATACTTGTATTTGCATGTAAGACAAAATAAATATGAAGAATAAAGGGAGGTAAGATGCAAAGTAGAGACGCAAAACAACAGCTGCTCGCTGATAGAAAGATATCGCGCGTTGACAGTAGACGCAAAGACGATTGCAAATGCGGTTTACGCTACTTTTGTCGAGATGAAGATTTTAATCATTAGGCCCTTAAGAGGGTGAGAAATTGCAAATTATTTTAATAATTTCTTCAGAAGAACGTAACATAGGAGTTCTTGTCAAGTTCCGCCTTTATCATTAACTTTCCTCTCCGAACGGATTTTCAAAACTCCACCTTCCTGCGTGACCAAGTAAGACCAAAACCAGAACAGATTTGAATACCAAGGCTTCGCAATATTTATTTTTAAGGTTCCTAAATGACAACTCAAATCATGAGTGAGATGAAGTTCATTCTAAATTGACTACCACTTATTTTCAAACACCAAACTGCATTGCGATGCTTAGCATATGCAAGACACCATGTGGTCAGATATTTCAGCATTAGCAGGTGCTATTGAACTTTTCTTTCAGTTTTTCTTCTAGGTTTTGACTCTTTTGTTTTGCTTTGCTAAACAAAAGTAACGATTTTTCAACAACACATACTACGTCTTTCATGTCTTTCATTAATTTTTAACAGAAAGGAAAGTTGAACATTATTTAAACTGACCAAGAACAATGACTCTCCCTGATAAGAAGAACACCAAATTAAACTGAAACAAATTGGGCTTCGCGTAGAATGTCGCTTGGAGAAATGACAGGATAGCGTATGGAGCTGCACCCGATAGGATTGTGCTGTGAAAATCAAAGAAACGGAAAGTTACTTGTTTCTAGTACTTACTCTTCAAAACTGTCATTTTCAAACAAGACGTGGGGGACTTCACTAGGGGTAAGAAAATTATTGAAGGAATATATCTCGTTCAAAAAAGATTTAAAACATCTTTCACTCAAAATTACGCTAAAGGAAAGCTTTCACGTTTTTGACTTTCCAAATTACATTTACGTTCGTTATTTCTTGAAAAACCACTACTGTAGCCTCTTGGACATAAAAAAACGCGAAAAAGAACAGAACGTCACATAGATAGCGACCTAACTGACTCGATTTCTGTTAAAAAAAAAAGCGTGGAAGAGATAAATAGGTACTTCTTAAATCTCTAAAACATTTTCAAACTTTTTTTTTCGTCAAAAGATCTTACAAAGCTGTGCATGCACGTTGTTTTCACCAAAATTCCAGACAGGAAGGGATTTATTCTTATCAAGACCAGGATCTCAAGGTCTTTAAAAAGGTCAAATTCAGTAAGATGATAACTTCGTTTCATTTAAAACAATTTAAAAATTAGATATAATTAGCCATTAACTTGTCCGGGTGCATAGCTTGAGAAGATGACTTTTCAACGTTTTCCGGTGGAAACCTTGTCGCCCTATAAATTTCATATGGCCGTCTTACATTCCTGGTTCAGTTTTCTGAAAGTCACACTGTTTTCACTTTTGTTATTCACTGTGTAACGTTTCAACATTTGTTAAAAAGGCGTAAAATATGGGAAACTAAGGAAGAAAGCCAAAAACTCAGTTGAAAATATTACAAAGAAACTATATGGTACCTTCAATGCCAATGTAATATTGATAAAATCAACATAAAATCAAATATGTTACGAAAGACAAGTTTTCATCATTGTCATCCTCTATTCAAATCGTCTCATGAATAACTATTATAAGCATTAAAGTATATCAACCGTCCACAGATGTTCTTAAGGCAGGAAAGGATGATCTATTGAAGTTTGCCAGCTTATATATTTTTAGAGGATCTAAATATCAAACTCGTGCTTTTCATCACGACGAGGGTGGGTGTGGTTTTCGTCTTCCCTCCACCGTGGCACTTTAAGTGATATCTTATGAACTAAAAATTAGGCAATCATTCCTCGGTTATGTGTTCCCTATGAGCGATAAGAGCGGCTGGACGGCGCGTTTGATGTTTTTGCCGTGGAATTCACCAAAATCCGCTGATCTGCTTAACAGCTGAGAATAAAAAACTTTTCTTCAATCAAAGGTGCAGGCACTCCGCTAGAAAAAATGCTGACATTTATGTTTTAAACATATGAAGGACGGTGAGATAACTCTTAATGGGACCTTAAATGGTTTCAAATATCAAAACGTTCCCAAGGATTCATCCAGTATTCAGCAACGAATAAAAATTTTCAACAAAAATGAGACTTGGACATAGGCTATGCATGAATTTTTGAAATTCTAGCTAAAAGGTCCTAAATGGCTTAGCAAGGAGGAGTGCCTCCATAAAGATTTTCTTGCGATCAGAAGGATCTATCGGCCCACAGTATGCTGATCGCTTTAATCGATAAAGTTTAATAATGTTTTTTTTGTGTTGTTGTTGGCTTGTTTCCGTATCTATTTAAAGCTTGGCCACCTTGAAATAACATATTAGAGCTTTGCTTACGTTTTAACTCATAATCAGTAGGTAACGATTATTTATATGCAAAATCTAAACGCAGTTTTATAATGTGGGTTTGTCTACTTAGCTTTGTTGGGTCTATCGGGGTGTCACTGAGTCCTTGAGAGTCTTCGAGAGTGATTTGTGGGTAAACAGGGATTGATGGTTGTTTGTACTCCCGAAAGTACATCGAACGTGACTTAAGAGTTTTCTCTGAGGTACATTTTATTGAGACACAGCTCATGGAAAGATCAAAAAAAAAATTTTATTTTGTTTTCTTGTAGAAAAAGGGTCATAATTATAATAAAAGTTGCGGTTAAGTATGAGTTACAATCATATTATTGTTAACGTCTTCCAAGGTCTCGCGTGTTCCTCGTCAAACCTACGTGCCACGTACTTCGAGGATTGATTCCACTGCGCCTTGTAAGATGCATTTGAGAGCCTGTTCTCTTAAAATGGCTCAGGATATGGAAGATGAATGTTTCCGTTTCTTACACGGCGTAAGCTTTCTTCCGTCTTTAGCTACCCTGGGGAAGACAATGGCTTGTAGACAGTTAATAGAGGTATTTAATTTCAAGTGGTTTCATTCCATATAAAGAACAAAAGAGGTGACATGTGATCACATCTTCGCTTTATTTCTTACACAGTATAGAATAAGTAAAAAAAAAAACCCCAATTTTATAAGGCCAGAAACAGCCCCTTAAATACCAAATAAAGAGTAACCTTTGTTATCGCATTCAGACCTTTCGCAGGCAATTACTCAGAAATAACAAAATTAGAAGACCTTCGCGGGAAGGGTACACAAATCAAGGAATTCGTGAATGCACGGAATCGTAATTAACGGTTAATCGGATGCATTTGAGATTCATTTAAGTTCAAATCTCTCGTCCGTGGAAAGTGATTCCTCAATAAGGGCAGAGGTTGTAGAATTTCTCGCGGCTTTGCCTATATATCTCTAATTTTGTTCTTCGTATGTTAACAGCCGTAATAATTGCAGCATTCTTTAAGATGTGTTGATGGAAACATTTCCCTTTGCTTATCATTAGATCTCAAGATAACAACGGAACTGCTTTGAACACGACATTGTTGCGACGGTTTTACGAAATACCTCAGCGTGGAGAAAGGTCGGACTGAGTTGGTCAGTAAATTTAGAGATCAGATGGCTTCGTTCTATTTACAAAATATCAGGTTGAACTCCCTAGGCGGTTCACAAGGTGAACTTGTTGAGAATCTTTGTTTCACAGATTTCTCGACGAATACGAATCAGCACCAAAGGGGTACCCAGGTAATGAACAAAAAGATAGCCAAAAGGAACCTCTCGTCACGTTTCAAAGGCATCAGATCGTTTAATTGAATGTTGAAAATGTTTCAATAGAGGCTGATTTGACGATTACTAATATTTACATGCACTGACAAGCAATTATTCGGTAGTTACACAGATTTTTAATTCGTAATGAATTCCACTCTAAATTCCTGGTTAGCTCTCAAAACCAAATGATTACACAGATATAGGAAACAACCCTGCAATATTGTTTCCTCTTTTCACAAATGCGACAGGGGCTAAACAATTTTAAATGAAAACTGCCTTGAAAGAACCTCTCTTTCCAATCAGTGAAGGCAACAGTTTCACTGCGCCAAGATTCAAAGATGTAACCCTTTGTGTCATCGAGAGATTTCGTAATTAAAATGATAAAGCTTCGTAACAATGTATTGTAACGCCTCTAACTTCTTTAGTTACACAACTCCATCTACTTTAATAGATCCTTTGAATTAATTATTTTTTATGTACATATGAGGATAATAGAGCGGGAACTTTAAAAGAATTAACCGCTAATCTTCAAAGAAAACCGTGACTAACCCAAAAAATCTAATGACCGTCAACCTATGCCGCAACCATAGATAAAAACTGGTCAAAGGCACACCAAACCTTTTTGTTAAAACCTAGGCCAATTATGTCATTAACAACGAACGCCCATGGTAGTCTGCTTGAGAGTCTTTTATCTAAAATCTTAAAATGTGACAAATTTGCCGAAATCTTACCAGGTATAGACACAGGCCTATGTCCTTTTGAAATGAAGTAAGAAATAAGTGCTAAACTCCTAAAGTGCTCAACTAGACTCTTGCAACGTCACAGTCGTGACTTAAAGACAGTGAGTTGTTTGAGAAGTGACGTGAACCAGCTCTAAAGCCTGTAAAGTACATAGATCAAACTAATCATTGAACTATTAGAGCCGTCAAATTATTTCAATGTCAAACTGAAATCACGCTGACACTGCTTAGCTCACGCTTTATTGTGTTTCGTTGTTCGGTTAGGCAAAGCGATCCGAGTATTTTAGCGAGTGATGTTTTGTCACAGCACTACGTTGTATCGACCTCCCACCACTAGAACCTCGTAGAATTGTTCTTAGGGCTAATTTCTATGTGTTACGCATTTCCTATGAAGGTTTTTTCTAGAGCGCCTTAGTATTAATGGAATGAGTACATAAGTAAGTGTTAACTAATTGACACCGGATGTGCAAAGAATCACATTCTAACTTGAACAAATACGCTATAGAAAAGAACGCTACAAAGCGTTTGACTCAGAAAGAAAGCAGAAATGACAGGAATGCCAGAAGACAAAATTTCTGTCAAGGGAAATTCAAACACTTCATTAAAGCTAGAAAATGTACCTGCGGAATCGCAATGCGACAAATCACCGCGCCTTGCATAGTTTAACTAAACCACTAACAAAGATTTTTAAAAGCTTAATGATTTATCCAAAATGACTACAAAAACAAAGCGCGTTAATGATAATTTTAAGCCACAAATTAAAATCCCCTTTCGCGGGTAGTTCTTTTTCAATAGGGCTATTGGTTGGTCTTCTTATTAACAAGCCATTTTCAGTTTTTTCAGTCTCATGAGCCATCCTCGTAAAAGATCCCCCATCTCTGATAGTTTTTTTCAGCCTCAGAGAAATTGGAGTCAAACTCAAGGGCCTCAAACTTTAAGAATATTAAATCGACCCACCAATTGCAATTTGTCCTTTCTCATTTTTCGACGATAAAAGTTTCTAAGCCTTGCTTTTCACCTTAGCTTTCCTCTGGTACGTCTGACGAATCCGGATCTGCTGTAGATGGTGTCTTAAAGGAATACATTTTGGTTAACTGTCGCGTGATATGACGGTGAGTCTTTCTCGCTTTACCCTCGATTCGTGCGCATTGCCGCAACACCTTCTTGCAACTCTGTCTGAAGTAGTCGTCAAGTGCGCCGTATAGGTAAGGATTTAGACAGCTGTTGAGCCAAATACAGAAATGTGAATACTTCATGAGAATACTGAAGTACGGATTGTTTGCTCCTGAGCCGTAATCCAACCAGAAAAACAGCACATGATTCGGCAGATAGCACAACGCGAAACTCGCAATTAAAACGATCAGTAGTCGAATGAATTTCTTGTGATTTGCTTTGGTTCTACTATTGGTAGATTTTCTACCTTCTAAGCCTTCATCTCTTCGATAAAGCACCGTGGCCATTTTACTGTAGGCGATTCCCATGATAACCAAAGGTAGGAGATATTCAGCCACAAACAGATACAAAGTATACCCTTCTTTTAGGATTCTGTCGGTGGGAGGATTCCCCCAAAGCTCTTCACAGCTGAATTTGTTGTTTTCACCTTGCACTGTATGATTCACGTCCATGACAATGATTTGTGGAAGAGCGGACATAAAGGCGCACAGCCAAACCAGTGCGAGAAGCAACTTGACCCTCCCGAGGGTCAATCTAGCTTTCATTGGATAGACAATGCCCATGAAGCGTTGTAAAGTAAGGGTTGTTAGACTGAAGATCGAAGCACCCTGGCATAACAAGCTCAGAGCTGGGATAAGCTTACAAACAGCAGTGGATCCGAAAAAGCCAAACGGATACTTCCCTGTCTCGTAATAGAGTAAGGTGAAAGGCATACACACGAAACCTACCGCCATGTCGGCAATCGCTAGACTCATCAAAAACAGGCCGTAATAGTAGTTCCTGAAACTTCGCAGCTTGCGCGTTTTCCGAACAGCTACACACACGAGAATGTTTCCTGCCATGTTGAGCACTAGAATTAGAATGGATAGCGCCAGACGAATTACCAGCGATGGAAAAGGCTCGGGGACTTCAAGGCTGGTAGAGGGAGGCACTGTGGAAGGAATCATCTCTTTCACTGACAGAGAAACAGAAGCCGCGGAATTTTTCCAAGTTTCACTAGTGGTGAACGGAGAAGGTTTAACTGAGGTCATGATGTGAAATGAATGAACGCATCAGATCTTTGGCGTTTGATGTCCACTGTTATCATCAAATAAATCTTGAAGCCGCACTAATCTCGTACACGCAGCTACGCAAATGAGCACTGTCTACTTCTTGGCGGTGAAAACGACGTGAGTTGGTTACTTGTGTCTGTTTCAACACGATATGGGTGATATTAACCTGAACTCGGCGGTGAAATTCGACTCAGCTGAAGCGCACGATTTTGATCGATTCGTTATCTGCCGCATCAAGTCAATATTCAAGTGTGTCGCGTTCACAATGTCGCGATTGACAGGAGAACTTAGAGACGTGAGGGATTTACTTTTTTGACAGCTTAAGCCGCGATGATTTGTCTAGCGAATAATTAACGCAGAGATCTTCCGCAGGATGAAAAAGGCCACATTCACAGTGAGAGATCCAATATGAGTGAGGAGTTCAATTTGAATGATGTTAGCACTGATGCTAATGAACAGAAAATTAAAGTCAACAAACACGTTAGATTTTCTTAAAAACACTCTACCTCTCGTCACCTTAGGGACCAAGTTGCTAGTGCTATCAAGGGGTAGGGAAACTAAACGCAAACTCGACCAATGAACGGACTTAAGTTTTGTTTGAACCACTGCTGTTGTGTTGAAATGTAAACTGACTTTCCTTCGAAAGTGAAACTTTCATCGTTTTATTGAAAGCTCGCAATCATTATAAACACAGCCTTTTTACCGAGTTACGCACCACTAATCCCGAGAAATCTCCAAGGTTGAATCATGGAAATTTAAGACGACCCCTTTATACCAAGGAGAGATAAGCGTATTTACAAAACAAATTCTAAAGAGCCGAGATTCTCTGTTATCCGGTATTATTGCGTCATTTATCAAGTAACCAACAAAGGAAATTTTTTTCCACCTTTTGATAAATTCCTTTCTTTGAATTTCTAAAGGTAATTTTCTTATAGCAATTTTGATCTGCCGCGGTCCTTGAGAAGTCTGTTAGTAGTAAGATATATCGAGACCTTTCACTGATATGTGCACTTTCCTTACTTCATTATACATATATTCTGTTCTTTTTCTTTACTTTATTATACATGTAAGGTATTCTTTTTTGTATCAACGCTGTATTAATGAGCTGCTCGTTGACTAAAATATAATTTCTTAGTCGAAAATTAACATTTAGGATTGGAAATACAGCAAAATGGTGAAATATTGTCAAAGGCCATTTTAAGGCTGACGATATTTTTGTCAGTAAGTTTCGGAAGTGATGGTGGGTCTCAGATAACAACCACCAACCAACAATTCAGAACAAAGTGAGACTGAAGGTATCGTAATTAAAGAAAACAATTACTTCGAATATGCCCATGGGATTGAATGGATATTACAGAAAATTTCAAAAGACTTCAGCTCTTGACAGCATGTAAACGTTCGTTTTGATTGTAATTAAATCACGTGGTGTCGTGCAAAAGAAAAACATCATCAAAGCACAGTTGATGTTATCGTATGCTGGCTTGGAAAGGGAAGCGTGCCTTTGTGTGTTTTTGTCGGTCATTGTGTTGTCTTTATACGATTTTCGACCAATAATATTTGAGCGGTGTTATTAATCCTTTTGACTACACACGGGAAAAGGCAAATGTTTTTTTTTGGTGAACTTCACAGAATTGAATGGAATGCTACAAATGTAACGTAGACGCTATTGTGTTTTTACAAGCATTGCACGACCTGCTTTTAGAAGTTGTGTGCTTGTCCGCATATATAGTACAAGAACGCGAGGATATTTAATGGGGAGAAAGATTCATTCCAAGCTTGACGACTTCTTATCTCCGTCAGTGGATATCACAGGAAAATCTGGTCCATTAACCGCACTATCAAATAGACCTTAGGATATCTTTTTTAACTGGATCATCACCACTGGCGCAGAGCATGAGAAGGGCAAATGGCTTGTACTCGATGACTGAAAGACATTGGCAATAAATCAGTGATTCACTTCCTCATGAATCGCTTCAATCCTTTTACGCAGAAATAATTCAAACAAGAGCTGAAATTCATTTTTTTATCTTCATCTAAAACCTTTTAAAAAATCGCTTTCCTATGAAATATAGAAGTTGGCAATTAAATTAAAGACAAGGATGGCAAAAAGGAAATCTTTTGTCAGCGTAGACACTTCCAAAAATTATGTCGTAGAGGACAACAGCTCGATTTTTACGAATTTTGAAACCACTTCATAAGCCTACTTCGCTAATAAGAAAATAACGTCAACTTCAGTAAAAGTTTTAGATATTCACGTCCGCACGAGATAGTGGGAGGCATTACTTTGGTGTGCGGTTTAGAGTGAGTTTTTTCCATTTCCTAAAATCCCTCTGCAATGCAAGCCTTACGGCAAAATCTAGTCGGGGTTCTATTTGTTTCTGAAAGTGACTTCATGTTGACATCTTGATATCTCTGATCACCCTTCTTCCGCGTTCATCGCTGCTTGAGACAGGATATCGATTTTTAATTTCTTTATTCGACATTAACTTTAAGTCATCTGTTTGACAGGAAGCGCTAGTGCAATTTATTTCATGCACGAATTTGAAATCTGAATTTAAAGTTAAAAGCATATGTTTTTTCTCAGCTTCGTTCTCCAGGAAGTTTTCCTTGCTAATAGTATATTCCGACCCAGTTTACGGATAAAAGTTTCATCATTTAACATCCCAGTATTTTTAACCCTTAGTTCTGGCGTAGAAATTACTATCAATCCAAAAAAAGGCTAATAATATTAAAAAGAAACTCACCGAGACACGCGACGATGCTTTAATACCGTATACTTTGATCCACATAATGAAAACACTACAAATATTTAAACAAGACTCATCTATGAAAAAAGCCGGTGTCTTCTTAAAGCAAATCTTTCATGTATCGAGCAAAGGAACCGCGCGTAAATAAATTGACCTGAAATAAAGCCTGGAATTACACAAGAAGAAGAAGCCTACCTTGCTCAAACTTAATAATTTGGAATAAGCGGATGTGGAAGTTGCAGTATGCAAAATGAGTTTTAACTAGTTTAGAATTGACCATTATTGGCGTCGGCAAATGATATGAAGGAACTTTCAGAGGTCTTCGCTTCGGGGATTTAAGATTTTGCAGCCTATTTACTCGGTCAGTTGCACTTGTGGATGGATCTACAGCCAGTTATGAGAATTTGGTGTTAGATGAGAATAGCAAAAATCTAACTGATAAATTTGAGTGTTCTCATCCTCTGTTTGCTGGATAATGTTAGGGAAATTACAGGGAAAAGTTTCATGTTAATCTCTCCTGGGAGTTAAAGGGTTAAGCACTAGAGCGACTAACTGTCAGTGCATTTTGCCAAAGACTTTCCAAATAAATGTTCGTCATCTTGGCCAAAAAAATACTCAACAGCCAATCAGACTGAAGTCGATCCCAACGTTTTGCGTGATTTTTCGCAATTATGTATAATCTTCAGAGAATTATTTGTCGCAGTAAATTCTTATCAGATAATATCAAGTCATCCCATGGGGAAATTTATTTCTTTTTGATCGAAAGTTATTGCTTCTGAATTACCTTCTTTCCAAAAACTAAGAAAAATTACCGTGTAAAGGGAAACAATTTTGTGGTCAGTCTTGTCAGATGAAAACAGAGTTCATCAAACTGTAGGAGAATCTTTCTTTGTTGTTGCTATTGTTGCAAAGACATCCCGTACCTCGTCAAAAGAATGCCTCTTCTGAATAATTGAAGACTACGCAGTCTTACCTTTCTTTCATAAAATTACCTTCTACATTAATTTTTCTATGAATGTGTGATTTTAAAACGGTAGACTGCAAGCATAATTTTTATGTCCTCATTAACGCTTGCTAAACAGATATTTTGAGTTTATGATGACTGGTATGTATAGAGACTTGAGGTTGTAACTTGGCAAGCTTCAAATCAGTTTTACGATACACAAAGCCTTACAGGCTCCTCTGACTTTCAAAGATATAGATACTTATTTTGTTTAGCATAGTCAATTTTCGGTATTTTATTTGTATTTCGAATGCTAAACGAGGAAAGAAAAATATGAACAGTGACACTGGAAAAGATGCCTTCAAAGGTAACGATTTAGGAAGGAAAATTACATGCTTTTGGGTATTCACTTGAGAAGATGACATGTCAATGTGCATGTTTTAAATATAAAGAAAATTATTGTCGTCTATTATGTCCTCATTAACACTTGCTAAACAAATATTTTGAGTTTCGTGATGACTGGTATGAATAGAGACTTGAGGGTGTAACTTGGCAAGCTTCAAATTTTACAATACGCAAAGCCTTACAAGCTCCTTTGACTTTCAAAGATATAGATACTTATTTCATTTAGCATAGTCAATTTTCGGTATTTTATTTGTATTTCGACTGCTAAACGAGAAAAGAAAAATATGAACAGTGACACTAGAAAAGATGCCTTCAAAGGTAGCGATTTATGAATGAAAATTACATGCTTTTGGGAATTCACTTGAGAAGATGACATGCCAATGTGCATGGTTTAAACACAAAGAAAATTATTGTTGTCTATGGGCTATTAAGCAAATTGTGCAATCTTTCCTTGCCACGCCCTGAACAAGGAGTTACGTAACCCACAGCAGAGTGTAAAAAGTTTAAATCGCTCTGGACCTGGCACCCTGTCTACCATGAATAGTTTGCATGATTTTACTTCAAATTCAAAGAAAAGATCTCACTTTAGTGGCTAAAAAATGAGCTTCCGTAGAAAGTTTTCATGATTTTGCCTGGAGTATAAAGAGGGAAGCAGTTTTTAAGCGGTTGGTAGTTCTTTCGACGCCCTGGCCTGGTACGTTAGTGAGAGAGACATCTCTGAAACCATGACGAAGATTTATTTACTTATTTCTTTGGTCATTCTACTGTTTGTGAATGTGTGTTGGTGCCAGTGCCGTTGGGCAAACTGGCAGGGCTCGTTTGACAGAGCAGGATGGTCCAAGTGTGGATCAACTACTGAATACCTGACAGGTTTTTATCGAAACTCTAAGAGTGCAAGCGACCCTATTCATCTTCTGGATAAGGGAAACTGTTGCAATGCTCCTGCACCAAACCAGAATCGGGCTTCAACGTGCCAAAACGCAAACTGGTGGAGACAGTTGGACAGGTTTGTGAACAAGTGCAAAAAATTTAGACAGCATATTTCGTCGGCTTGCCCTCGACACTATGCCAGTCGTAGAAAAATAGCGAGGGGTTACCCAGAAGTATTTCACTTCTTAGGCATTCTTGTCTCCTGGGCGAGTTATGGTAAAATTTCCGCACAGCCCCATCCTACATTATGCTTCAGTTCTTAGATAGAGAAAACAATGAAAAAAAACAATACATTGCCATTGGGAAAACAGATTTGTTCTACAATAGTATAGGGCTGTGCGGAGTTATGTTAAGAGCGAATATCATCGCCCGAAAACGTAACGAGTATGCGTGACCAGTGTTTAGTGAGGTTTTTCAAAATGCTCATCTGATAATGCCAGCTGTAACTAGCTTTTCTTCTTTAAATAAAACGCTTCAGTTATTCCCCGCGGGAAAACTTTCAACAACAAAGTTAAATGTTGCAACCTCGTACTGCTTTATATTTCGCGTGTCCTATAATTAGAGCTTCAAAATTTTTAGATTGTAAATGTGAAGAAAGTACGGCATTTTGGTGTCTATGCTTTACCAATGAACTCCTTTTAGTAATGTTTAGTTCCCTGGATTCACCGCTTTCTTCTTGGGTCAAGTAAAGACTTGTTTGCTAAATCAGTCATCCTCATATCCTCATATCCACTTGTTCTCATTCATTTTTTTCAGGAATAATGAATGGGCATTTTGTCCGACAGGATACTTCTTGCAGGGATTATACCGCACTAGTAACCACAACATTCACAACATTGAGGAAGGTCGTTGCTGTAAACCCAATAACCTGCCAAACAGCTATCTCCACTGTTACACTCACGACGTCAGCAAATCATTCGACAACAAAGGCTGGAGTAAATGCGACAGCCAATACTACTTGAGGGGCTTTTACAGGGGAGGTTGCGATAAGTTGCACTGCATAGACCAATTCCAGTGTTGCATGATGTATGATGGCTGCAAATTTGCGAATTGGTGGAAAAGTTTTGATAGAAAGGGCTGGGCCCAGTGCGACTCTAAGCAATATATCACTGGACTTTGGAGAAATGTTAACTTGGGCTCAAGAGATGAAATCTACTTATTGGAGGAAGCTAAGTGTTGTTCAGCTCCTGCTCCATTCCAGAACGTCCAATCGACATGTAGAGAAGCCAATTGGTGGAGTGTTCTTGACAAGTAAGCGTACCATAATTTTAAAGTTTACCAAAGATGAATACTAGCAGGAATCGCGTGGTCTGTTACGAAGACCAGCGTGCGCCTCGAGGTTACGATAAAAAAAAATGATACACTTGGAAAAAAATGAAATTTAGCTAATTTGTACAATTTCGGATGCTCGTTTTTGCCGATTTGAAAACCCGCAGTGATTCAATCGTTTAGTTTCATTTTTTATTTTGAAAGAGCCTCTCCAACAATAGGATGGGAAATATGGTAAGTTTTAAGCTCGGTAAGAAATAGAGAAATGTTTTTCGTCTTGTCACGAGCGTGGGAAAAGAAAAAATTCTGAGACCCCATGAAGAAATGAACCTCAGACCTTCGGATTCCGCGCTCCGATACTCTACCACTGAGCTCATGAGGACTCTGAATTTTATCTTTTTCCCGCGCTCGTGACAAAGCGAAAAACATCTTTCTTTGTATCATCATGTATGTTGACTATTTGATATTAAAACACAAACTTCAGTTCTAACATGATTCTCCTCTAACTAGAACAAATACGTGGGCGGTCTGTCCACTTGGTTACTTCCTACGAGGCTTCTACCGAAATGACGGTGCTTGGCTGCATCACATTGAGTTGGGTAAATGCTGTAAGCCGAACACTTTCCCAGACAGGTATGAAGACTGCTACACCGAGAATGTCCGCATTTCGTTTGACAAAAGAGGTCTCAGCCAATGCAAAAGACAAGGATACTATTTAGCCGGAATTTACAAAGGAGGATGTGACAAACTGTTCTGTATAGAGTCTTTCAAATGCTGTAGGATGAATATAGGTGAGAAACAATTCTTAATCTCTCAATATTTCCGTAAAGAGCAAGTTACAAGGAAATGATTCTGTACTGAATTTTATTTATATACCACTTTGTAGATGAATGCAGAATTAAAAATCCTTGTCTTAACGGTGCAGTGTGCTCCGACCAACCAGGAAGTTACAAGTGTACATGTAAATCAGGATACCGAGGAAAAAATTGCGAAAACGGTATTTGCAGTATCATAGATCATAAGTGACTGAATTTCAAATCAAAGGGCGTAGCGTATCAAAGCCTAAATTATCTTGGATAAATTTCCAATGTTTTGTTGAGCAAAGTATAGATTTTTATGGATCCGTGATGGGAGGGATGTGTAATCACATCACTCGGAGTTACTCCTTACTAACGCTAGACTATTTAAAAAGGCCAACAACATAGATGCATAACAGAAAAATCCCCAAAATGTGGTTCGACTCCGCTTGACTCTAATGACGACCTCCGCTTAGGGTTTTAAACTTCAGTCACTATCACTACAACGTTTTTGTTCAGAACTACTCTCACCCGTACGATCAGACTACACCACCACCTTTTAAACTAGCTTTTAAAATAATTGCTGTTAACACTGAAGATCGTTCATTAAATTCTTTCACAAATCCTCTGCCATTGAAAAATTCCTGTCCACTTTTGTACTAGTAAACCAATCGTGCGTTTAATTAGTGCCTTGACAAAGCGTTTACTTCAATCGACAGATGTAAACGAGTGTGTGAATAACCCATGCAAGAACAGAGCTGCCTGTGTCAACCTTAAAGGAAGTTATCGCTGCGATTGTAAATTTGGCTATATCGGAAAGAATTGTCAAATTGGTGAGATACTCTCTATTAATTTCCTTCAATCTTGTTATGCAAATTGCATATGACTTTTTCTTTCCTTTTCAAATTTGTTATCCATTTATAAAGGAATTTTTGGCTTCGCTCGTCAAGCATCACTCACCAGGGCTAGAAAATATTGTACCGTACGATAATTATAACAAAATTAGTCAAATGCGTATCCTCCTCCCCATCACTTTCCTCCAACTGCAATTCTTTACTCGCGAGCTCGCTCCATCACAGAATTGGAAACAAAAGTGGAAAACTATTTGTCAAACTTTTGACGAAGACTTAATATTTCTTTTTTTTTTATTATATTTCCATGGTGCAATATTTCGAATAGTCTAAAAAATAATTTTGAAGCAAATGTATTATTTTTACAAACATAAACGAATGTACGAACAATCCATGCAAGAACAGAGCAAACTGTGTCAATCTCAAAGGAAATTACCGCTGTGACTGTAAAGCTGGATATACCGGAAAGAACTGTGAAACAGGTGTGATGCTGTGAATCTGATTTAAGACAGAAAAAGGATTCTTAGTGAAGACCACCAAAAAAAAGTGTTTCTCCAGTTTTATAGGGCATTAGATGTGGAATTAAGATTGGTATGCATTTTCTTTACTTCCTAGATGTGAACAGATAAATAATAAATAAATTATTAAATAATAATAAATAATTTATCTGTTGAATAGTAATGTATACATGATAAATACCTACTTTGCTTATTCGCGTATTTCAGCTGCTCTAGAATACAAAACAAATTACCTTTACGAAAAAAAAACAATGGAATACAATTCGGGAAAATGGTCAATTTTATGCCCGCTCTTCCCATAAAAAGGTGCCTCCGGTATTTCTATAAAAAAATCGTCTTTTCCATAATAGAAAACTTTTTTATGATTAGAAATCATACAAAATCATCTGAAGCAATTGTAACATTTCCCCAGATATAAACGAGTGCCAAAACAAACCGTGCAAAAATAGAGCCGCCTGTGTCAACCTCCCTGGAACCTATCGCTGTGATTGTACACCTGGATACACTGGAAAGAACTGCGAAACAGGTATACCTATACAAGGAATGTTACCCTCTTTCGATAATGAAAACTGCTTTTCAAAAGTTTAAAAGATAACTCTTGAATATGTCTACCTGACATTTCTTATCTTGTTTCAGTTTGCTATTTGACTGGACAAAAACCGTATATGATTTCAAAATACCTTTGAGGAACAACGCTTGTTACACCCAAAACCATAATGGACCCATACTTATTTTAAATGGAATTAGAACTTAGCTCAGGGGTATGCTTAAGCTCCTTTATATATTTGATATAAAAATTCATAAGTGTTATTCTCCATACCCATGGAAGTATTAGAGGCAAACCAAATGCATGTTTTCCCTCGCATGTTCTTCATAGATGTCGACGAATGCGCTAATACCCCATGCAAGAACAGAGCTGCCTGTGTCAACCTCCCAGGAAGTTACCACTGTAATTGTAAATCTGGATTTACGGGGAGTAACTGCGAAACAGGTAACTCTTTTCCTGAAAAATTACATTGGATTAAGATATTCAGCATATTACTGAAAGTGCCAGCGGTAGTGACAAAAAAGAACGTGCCTTAACCAGGTTTTTTGATATTTCAGACAAAACGCATCAAATTTAAATTCCGGAATAAATAGGTCTTCTTTTCTTAATCTTCATTTCTTTCATTCTCTTTTGAAAATAACTGCCATCTTCTAATTGAAACAGATATAAACGAATGTGCAAATAAGCCATGCAAAAATGAAGCTGCCTGTATCAACCTCTCGGGAACATATCGCTGTAATTGTAAATCTGGATACATTGGAAAGCACTGTGAAACAGGTAAACAGTTGCAAGAATTGTTACCATATTTCAATAATAGGTACTGCATTTCAAGGTTAAAATAAGTATCTTCGATGTGTCTATTCGCCCCTTTAATTTTCGTTTCTATTTTAGACCACACAACCGCCGTTGAAAGATATTTTATCATACATTTTAAGACATCCCTCGTGAAAAAATCGTAGTCATTCATGTTACTAGAGGGTCTCAATGGGATTTACCGTTGTCCGTAGTATGGCAAAAAAAGTAATAGCCCGTAGACTTTTAAAATTTCACTCCGACAAATCTTGCACTGTTGTGTCTTGCCTTCTTACCAACGCAGGAAAGCAGAAAATTACTCCTTATCACACCAGCGGCAGCTCGACCTAGAATTTCCCTTGTTGCTTGACTCTAAGGGTAAAAGCGAACAAGTAAATATGTTTTAGATCAATGAAAGTTCCAAGTTATCGCTCCAATTGCAAATCAAAATATACAGGAAAAAGACGCGAAACAGGTAGCTCAATTAATTAAAAATTTTCTCTTTGCGGCAATGATGCCTTTTTACTTCCATTACAGATATAAACGAATGCAATAATAATCCATGCAAGAATGGAGCGACCTGCGTAAATCTTCCAGGAAGTTATCGCTGTTATTGTACGCTAAAATTCCGTGGTACTCGTTGCGACATCTTGGCAGGTATACACCTCGCCCCTTCCTTCTTCTTTCATTTTGTAAGATCCATAATGCATATTAAAGCATTATCACTTTGCATGACCTTCATAGCATATTTTCATATTTTTTCTTTCAAAATTGTATAAATCCGCTCTGGTGTATATCTCATTTCAAATAAGAAATGTCCAGCGGGTAAAACATGACCTTAAACTTGTCTTTTTCAGCACCCACCGATCAATGCGAGGACTAATCTGAATACTATCGAAGGTAAAATACAATTTTAAATTATACGAAAGAAACTTTTCTGTTAGTCGGTACATGATGAATAATATATCTTCTCTGCAAAAATCTATAATCTCAACAAATTATGTTATTCTTCTTTAAAAAACAAAATCTATTTTGTATATTTGAAAATATCAACAATCCAACTCGTGTCTGAAAAGATCGTTTAACAGGTACATTGGCTCGAACCACTGGTTTTAAGTTATGAACTCCCAAACTCCAGAAAGAAACGTAAAACTACAAGAAACTTAAAAGTTGTTTATTATAATTATGCAATTTATGAACATTCTCCTTTATATACTTTTTCAGTGTGTTACTCGCCAGTTCTTCCAAGGATTGAAGAAACAAGAAAATTGTCCACAATTGAAATCTTAAGTATGAAACATGTAATTGAATACACAATAAAACAGTGTTTAACTTGACATTTACTAGTTGTGCTCTCTTTGTTATAATCCGTCCCCTGATCCCATTCTTTTATAGCTGCCTTTGAAAATATTTTTGTGGCCCGTTAAAAATGAAAAACATTTGTATAAATACTTAGTTATACGTTTGCCTGACACTACTTCAGTCTTCCCCTTTTCGCTTGGAAACTCGTGGTCGGTCCCCAGAGTGGTAATAACATTCAACTCGTTGATTTCCAATTCTCATTTTCCCATGCAAGGATCCTTTGATCAGCTCCGCTTTAACGCCATTTTATTGAAGTCACGGAGCTCATTAACTTCATTCTTCAATTTCCTCGTCTGACTACGGATCTTTTGAAAGTCTTCTTGTGTACGAGCCACGAACTCTCTTATTTCTCTCAAATCATTTTCGCATTGTGCTAAATGATCACCGATAGCTTTCCTTTCCTCGTCGACAGTTTTCATAAGTTTCTCAGGAAGCTTTCCACCTTCGAATTTCTTTACAGCGTCCATAAAATCACGCGATCTGGTTCTAAGCAAAGGCGCAGGCTTCGCTTTGTTCGTCGGTGTTCCAGAATCTTTCCTCACTGGTATTTGAGATGAGCTGCCCCGCAGGCTGTTTCTTTTACCTATTCTTGGGCTACTCATGGGACTTGACTCTCTAGATGAAGGCCTCGAAGGAAGCTTTCGGGGTTGCGAGGGAGACAAACTCATTACTGATGCTTTACAGACAGCCTCCTAGAAAAAACAAATTATCATTTTTGTGAACGTGCCAGGGTTAAGGTTCAATAATTTTCATCTAGTTGATGTGAGAACTTAAATGTGTTAGTCGGTGAGAGAGTGATGAACAAAGTTGGAGAGTTAATTTTGTAGTTGTTATGGAATATTGGCGTCTGAATCAAGTGTACTCAAGTGAGTATTGTGATTCTGTTCCTCCACCTAAGGCAGTTTAAGCCTTTGTGAATAAACTGTTGTTTAATACTACTTGAAATACGCGTCTGCGATAAAGTATGTAACTTACCTTCTTTTACAGAAAATTTACTCGCGTGATTTCCGCTGAAGAATTGGTCAAACTTCGTAGGATTTACAATCAACCGAAATGATCAGGACCGAGTTGTATTCAGTGTACGTCGGCTTCGACCACGACTGAGGGTAACATGTAAACAAGACTTAAACAAACCTGCGATAGATCCTTTGTTTTCGACGACACACTTGATCGCCAAATTGAATAACAATTAATTGAAGGACTTGTTTGCATAACATAATTAAGAAAAGTGGCTGTTAAAAAGCCTTATTTGAACGTCAAGGATACAGTCCAAGTGAGTTTTCTTGAAAAGAAATTACTCCAATGCTTTAAGCCGTAAAGTGAGCGGCAAGCCAACTAAGAATTTTTAATGAGCTTGCAGTCTGTCGGTCGACAGTTGAACAACACATATCCAACTTTGCACCTACACCGACCCAAACATTTGGTAACGACGAAAGAAAAATGTATGGCGTAACCAATATAGTAAATGTTTCGACGCATTTTTTTTTTCAATGTTTCTACTTAATTTGGGGGATTTTGTTGTGTTATGAAAAGATTTACTTGACCCCCTCATAAGGCTCTGTAATATTTTTAATTCCCCCCCTCCATTGGCGGTTAATAGTATAGTCCCCCCTTTACAATCTGTTAGCGACGACAGATCCCTCTTCTGTCCCCCCAAAAGAACCGTATGATCGCCCCAAAAATCCTCTACCCATCCCGCCCCCCCCCTCCACTACCAATAAATAACGAATTTTTCCTTAGATCTGTTATACATCGCGGTGTGATTAGATAACCTGAGGAAAATTCAGGCAAAGGTAATGAGAATAGGAAATCCCACACGAAATGGACTTGCGTTCACGCTATTTCCTATTCACTTACCAAAGCCTTATACACCATACCTTGGCCTTACAGTAGGAGCTAGAGAACAATAGCGATCAATCCTTTCTGGTAGGCTGAATTTAGTATTTATTTAGATATAAGATATACTTATTAAGATTTTATTGTTATAATTTTAAATTATAGAATATTCCATATCTAGTTTTTTTTTTTTTTAACTCTTAACTTTATTGTGTTTGTGGAATACCTTAATTAGCTGGCGTGCTTTTACAGACCCCGATTTCGGTTCCGTCTGTGAAAGCACACCATTATTGTAGCTAAGTGTATTTTCAAAATAAACTCTTATTGTATTGTATTGTATTGTATTGTAGTTCTACAGGCTCGATTCCAAAAGCTGGATGTACGCACAGCTAAGAACAGCCCGCTTTCGGAAACTCGGGTATGGACTACGCTCTAGTTACCAGTCTGTTTATCGGTCGCACTTCGACCCATGAGGTGCCTGGCTGTTTCGGTTTTTACAAATTTGGAACATTTCAATCTTTAGCACTCGTCTTTTACAAAATTCAGATAAAATAGAATCAAAGGAGATTAAGTGGAATTTTATCTGCAATGAAAGCGATTCGCGTACTATCCTTTGGAGGACCTGAAGTACTGAAGTTCATGTCGGATGTGAAGGTTCCAAGTGTTTCAAATGGGCAGGTAAACGTTCAAATAGTATTCTCCTTTTTTATGATTCTTTTCTGATCTGCATAACTAAAAGAAAATAGTTGTTTAAGGGTGTGCTTCTCCAGGCCCTACACCCGTTCTCTATTCATTCTCCTGCTTTCGGAGGCGTGGGTGCTGTGTGCGGTTTAATTATTGATCGTTTTAGAAAAATAATTCTCTCGTCACATATAGAAAGGGAAAACTTCAAATCTGTCTTCTTATGCGCAATATTTTAGGGAAATCTTGAGGTTTTCATGGGTCACGTATATTTCAGGAGGTAAAACACGCCTCACACACAAATCACGAATCACACTCGCCTTTCTGTAAAATTCACGCGTGACATTTGAATCTTTGCCTTTATAATCACGCGTCACGTAAAATTCCTTTGCATCCTCTTGTAGGTCCTTGTCAAAATTAAGGCAATTGGGATCAATCCTGTAGACACTTACATAAGAAGTGGAACTTACGCCAGGAAGCCAGATCTGCCTTACACTCCGGGTTCTGATGGTGCTGGTGTGGTACACAGTGTAGGAGCAGATGTAACCCAAGTCAAAGTGAGTTTTTAGTTATTCATAGTGACCAAAGTACTTTATTTATTTACTTACCTTTTTTCGGCTTTTGTATTAATTTTATGTATGGTGACTCAAACTTGAAGTATGTTACTGATGACTCTTACTGAAACTGATCTGTTGTAAAAATTACTAGATTAAAAAAGGCTTAAATAGTGTGATTTATTTCATGTTTGATGCAGATTTTTTAAATTAATTTTGTTTTGATGTGTAAAGGTGGCGAGGTGAAAGTATATCTTATGATTAAGTCTAGACAATGTGGTATTACTACCATAAATTTTCAGAAGTTTTTTGTTTCTATTATTTTCTTTCAAGTAGAACAAGGAAATCATGAGCAATAGGAAACTTCTGTGAACCAGTACCATAACCCATTTCAGAAAAGAAAGATGTTATTATTTTTGCTCCAAGCTTGATTAGTTTGTCTTGTTTAGTTTTATGATTATTATTTTGGCTGCAAAATGAAGACCTCTATCAGGTGTATGGAATTGAATTTCTGATATTTCATACAAATTGTTTCACTAGGAAGGAGACCGTGTTTATGTCTGTGGCAGCATAACAGGGACATATGCAGAGTTTGCCTTGTGTAACAGTAGCAATGTTCATCTTTTGCCAGAGAATATTTCCTTCAGTCAGGGAGCAGCTATTTATGTGCCATATTACACAGCTTACAGGGCATTAATACAAAGGTGTGTAAATTACAAAATTACAAATATTGGAAAAATAAAAGGAAGCTGCCATAGACATAATTAATAAGATCATTATGAGAATTAGTAGTGGTTAAGGATAGAAGGCAAAGCTATAGATACCAGGTATTGAGATACAATATTGAAAAGCAGCCATGGTGCTAATAAATTATTTTAAACACTCCCAAACCTAGAGGATAATTATAGAAACAAAGTTAACTGATGTTTACCAAACACATCCTAAATAATCCTCTATTTAGCCCAACCTTTTATCTCGCAGGGAACAAATTTTTTTTTGTGAACAGTGTCAAGAGGGCCAAAAGCTAACTGTGTAAGCATATTTATTTAATTAAGTCAACCCTCTTAAAGAGAGATTGCGAGGCCCACTGATTGTGTAAAGCCATGGTTTGGGTTAGACCTTTGGTAAATATCCAGCCCAAGGGAAAGAATGAGACACACAAAATTCACATACTGGTCTTTTTTTGGGACAATGTATTATGCTCTGTGATGATCAATATTATTAAACAGAAAACAAATGTATATGATTGTATGCTCAAGCAATTTAAATTATTGTAATACCTAAGTCTATCTCACTTTTTTGCAGATTACATGCGAAGGCAGGAGAGACAGTCTTAGTCCATGGAGCAAGTGGAGGGGTATGTACATCAGAAATGTTTTTGAATGTAGAAAAAATACGAGAACTATCAAGTTTATAATAAGATTAGTGATGAAAATGTTTTTATTATTGTGCTCTTTTGTATGTTGATTTCTGTGTTGATCACTCTAAGTCTATTCTTCTCTTGAAAAATACATCTGTCAGATTATTTTATTATTTATCCCTAAGCTACATGTACCTACCTTGAAAATCAGAAAATCATGAACATTTAATTGATTTAATTCTGAAAAGTCAGTTGTATATTGATCAATAATAATTAGTGTAGGACACACAAGCAAACATCAGTACCACAAAGCAACAAAAAATTACATTTAATGTTGTGATTTGTGGTTTATTTTTCTGACTTGTGTTCTCCATGAAACAAGGCTTTTTTGAGTACTGCATTAATAACCTTGCAGCAAATAACTTCCTACACTAGTAAGATTTGGTTATACTGAAAATAAACTTAAGAAACCTTTGTTAGTAGTGATCCAACTGCTACTATTTTAAGGGAATGTGACTGCTACCCAGCAAATAAATTTTTTCCTTATTAGATATTTATGCAAATGAGACTTTATTTGACTGAGACTTTATTTAAAGACGTCGACACATGACAGCTTTTGGTGATAACGCTGTGGCCCTCTAATGTAACAACCTTTGTCTCATGTTGAATGGCTCTAGGTTGGCATAGCTACTGTGCAGCTAGCCAAGGCATATGGATTAAGGGTGTTAGGAACAGCAGGGACAACAGAGGGGGAAGAGGCAGTGAAACAGGCAGGGGCCTCAGAAGTGTTCAATCACAGAGAAGATGGATATGTTCAAAGGATTCTGGTATCAAAGTTTAACTTTTGATCAATTGTGTTAGACTGTAGCTTTTGAGAAACTTTACTGTGTGTATCTCATGTACTGTTCAACAAATAAATCAATAAAGTTACTCATCCTAAATTCAAATTTGATTTTCATAAAATATTTAATGAAATTTTCAACAGGATGCAACTGGTGGACATGGTGCAGATGTTATTGTTGAAATGCTGGCAAATGTCAGTTTGGCCAAAGATCTTCAACTTGTTGCCATCAAAGGCCGCATAGGGGTATGTCAGCACTGCTTGTGACAATGAAACCATCTGTGCTTAGTTGTTTCCAAGTTAATCAGTATCAGAAAAAAATTGTCAATCAATATATGAAACAATTTGTCAATTAAAGGCAAATCAATTTTCCTGCCAGTCAGTTAATCAATCAATCTATGGATCTTTGAAACCATTTGTCAATCAATTGCCCAGTCAACCAATTGATCAATCAACTCATCAATGGATTGATTGATCAATAAGTTAATCAATCAAATAATCAATCAATCAGTCAGATTGTCAGTTAGTCAGCTTGACAGTCAGGCAGACCGCAGGTCAGCAAATCTGTCTATCCATTCATGCATCTACCAGTCAGTCAGGTTTACAGCCAGCTAATTAGTTAGTCACTCTTTTTTATTTTGAAATTGTGCAAGAACAAAATGTTTGTTTCTTCAATTTATAATTGCTGTTATGGTCTCCCAGCTTAGGAAAAGATGAAAATTAAGGCCTAAAATCAGTCTTGGTGTGAACCTTTCAGGTTGTTGGCAACAGAGGTACAATTGAAATAAATCCAAGAGAAACCATGGCTAAGGAATCCAGTATTGTTGGTGTTATGTTAGGTAAAGCTGGTGAGGTAAGAAATACATCAAAGAGTTATTTTAATGCTAACCTATAATTTGCTTCAATTTTCTGAAATAATACATGAAAATTATGCATGCACACATTTACCTCTTAAAAAGTGTTGCAGGTCAAGCTAAGTGATTGTAAGCCAGAGAAAGTTCAGACTATGCTGGTTTTACAGTAGTTGGACACAAATGGGCGAAAAAAATTGGAAGGGTTCTGAGGAAGAGTCACAATGGAAAGAGTCTGCCCTTCCCTCTACTCAGGCTCCCCTTGTTTTTTTCTCTCGCTTGCCTCACATTTCCCTCACCCTCCAAACTGGCTGGCTGAGCATGTCAGCGAGAGGTGGGTTGACCCAAGTAGTACATCCTGGCAGAGCTTTGCCCAGTTACAGTTGTGTGATGTCCCTAGGAGTTGTACCACCACCCCCCTACTCTCCTGAATGAGATGCTGGAGTCTCCCATATTCCAAATCAAGTCAAAGGTATAAATTGTATTTGTTAATTTTTTTATTTATTCTTTTTTTTTTTACACTTTTGCCTTCTTTAGGAGGAGAAACAAGAAATAACAGCAGCAATAGCAGCAGGGCTCAAGGCAGGGTTTCTTAGTCCAGTGGTTGGACACGAATACTCATTACACCAAGCATCAGAGGCACATAGAGATATTATAGAGAGCAAAGGAGCCAGGGGAAAACTAGTCTTACTTACATAATCAAAATATGTGGTGTGTGGCCTCATTACTAACTGTGGATGGTCCCCCATGACAGGTTGCAAAAGCCCATTTTTTGAGGGTTGGGATTCAAAGTTTCAAATTGTCAATGGAGTATGAGTATTTTTTTTTTATTTCTATGTGGTGGATTATGTGAAGTGAGCTAGTGGGTATTCGAAAATGGTATAGAGGTCACATTTAAATTGAGTAGTAGGGATAGTGATGATTTAGTGGAACAGATGGGGGTAACTTTGACTGTACTGTTGTCTGATAAGGCATAGTGAATTAAAAAATGAGTTGTGCACAGGTGTTTTAGGTGGTAAGTTCAAGGCATGGTTTCTTAGTTCAGTGAATTGCTTGAATATTGATACTAGTTGAATCAAGCTTCAGAAGCTCGTAGAGATACCACGAATGGTAAAATAGGAGAGCTAGTCCTATGAATATATTTTAACAAACAACATTGTACAAGCCACTATTAATGTATAATAAAACAATTATTGAATTTGGTTTGTGCACGATATCTTGAATTATCAAACCATGTCTTTTACTGTGTAATCAGCCTCACCAAGCTTTTGGCTTTGGCAGAAAACTCAGACCTCGGCATTGATAATTTATGATAGCCTGCTCAACCTCATCCAATAATCGTCTATTGTATGGACACAAATGTGTGAAGTGAGAGAGGCTTAGAGCTAGATTGCACTAAATTTGTGAACAACAGTTGGTAAATTAAAATATTTTCTTCAAGCTCCATGTGACACATGATAAATTTGATTAAAAGAGTGTTATGTATGGGATAATAAGTATAGAACTATAGCAGCATAGACAATGAAAATAAATTCCAAGAAAAAGGTTGGAAATAGATTTGTAATTTTTCAGGATATTGTGATACAATTATAATTTTGTTATGACTCCTTCTGCTATTTATACATGTATGTAGCTGTCTTATTCAATACAGAAACAAACCTAATCCTAGTCAATTGAGAGATGGCAAACACATTGGTCAAGAATCTGTGCATCTATGAATGTTGTATTGGTTGGGTGGCATGCTTTCTGGCTATAAGAACCAAGTCGTTTTAATGCAGGAGTTGTAAACAACTGTCTGTTTTAGTAATTATAAGTCATTGTAAATCTGTGAAACTGAAAATGATAAATTTACAGGACACTAGTAACTATATAAGCTATTTGTTTGATAAAGCTTGGGTTTTCCTTTTCCCCTTACTTTGTTTTATTTTAAGATTTCTATTATCTGTCCATTTTGATTACGACATTTTGCGCGACAGCGGTTGTCTCTCAGGTGTCTCCTTCCTAAAATTTGCGCGGGAAATTGGTTCGCCGACGGCCAGACTTGATCCCTTGCGCATGCCCGACGTCTGACCACCGCGTTTAACTGCCTGGGCTCAACGCAGAAAGCGAAGAACTGGGTTCAAGAATAATTTCACAGTTCACAGAAGGCAAAGAAAAATAAAAACAAACCCAAGAGTTACAAAAGAAACATAAAGGCGAGTATACTTAGTTGTTTGCATTTTGTTGCATGTATCTAAGATATAAATTGCGGTAGCTGGAAGTAGCAGCCGTGTTATTTTTGACCAAGCTAGAAGACAATGACCAGTACTGTAAGAGAGACTTCGCAGCCCGGCCAGCGACCTTCGTAACCAAACAAAAGGATTTCTGCAACAGTACTGAAGGAAATAAAAGCAATTCGAGCCTCTTCTTTCGGGGGCCTGAAGGCTTAAAGCTAGATTTAACTACACCAGTTCTGATACTCCTGTTTCAAGGAGCAGCTAGCCGGAGTTATTTTCGTATTTGTTTCAACACGTTCTGAGGGCGCGTGGTCCGACCGGAGAGCTTCATGTTTACTGTCGACCCTTCTTACAACTTTGACCAGATCTAGATTGATGTCATATGTAAGAGTTTGTGAACGGTGTAATTCGTCATCTATGTTTGTTTCACTATTGTGCGTAAGTTGGTATGTTAGGCCTACAACATCCTCAGTTGCAGTGTATGCATTACAATAGATGTTTGCCACGTAAGTAAATGTTGAGGTGGTTAATTTTTTTTTCTACGTTTACAAATACGCAACAAAGTGTCTTTCCGGCATCTAAATTTTAGATAAATTGTTCTGAGATCGTAGACTTCTTTTTATTACGCTCTTAAATCCATTATTTTGAATTATTACATTAAGCATAATGAAAAATGTTTTTAGAGGTGACCTTTAAAAGCGTTATGCTTAAATTTTTGAGCGTGTGGATATGCTAGCGAGTGTCAGTTGGGCTGATGGTATTGAGTTGGCTGTGTATTAAGGGTGCATAGGTGTATCTCCCTTTTGCAGTAACATACAGAAAGTAATGTTGTGCTGTGTCATGACATGCACTGGGCTGTTCTCTGGCGAAGCATGGGAGACAAACTTTTGTGTCTTGGTGACTTGTATAATCTCACCTTTAGGACAGCTTTCAGAGCTGGGCACCCAATACTTCTCAGGGAGATGTGGTGGCTATTTGGTTAGTGCCTTGGACTCCAGGTTAAGAGGTCTGGGTTTGGGCAAGGTCAACATGCTGTTTTCTCAGCCAAAACACTTTGCTCTCATAGTACCGGTGCCTCTCTCCTCAGGAGTATGAGTGAGTGCAGGCAAATTGTCAGGGAAGCCTGATGAAATTCTGGGGGTAACTTCAGTCACTTGACTAGATCTGTATGGATGTTACTTTTACCCAAGACTTCTAAGACAAAAGCCTTCAGGCCCCTTGACAGGACAGTGTCAAGGGGCATACATGTATCTTTCATGTTGATCAACAACATAAGTTGGCTGGGGGGTATTTCAGCATCTCCAGCAGCTTAAACCCTTTATAGTCATGCACAAGGACATGCGACTGTTTGTGACTTTCTTATAAATAATTTGTTCCCTTGGAGCTATAATACTTGCTGCTAAATGCCTTTTATACTTACTGTTAATGAGTTACATTGTGTCCTACTTTATATTTTTAGGTTGTTGGAAGTGGAGGTAGAGGCAATAATACAATAGGGCAGGTTTGAAGGAAGGCTATATTTGTCATGAATATCAGTTTAGTCAAGCTGCTGATGCACACATGGATATTACAGAAGGCAAGGGGGGTTAAAGGAGAATTGGTCTTGGTTGTTCAGTAGGAAAGTATGTGTTAGGCAGTTACATGTACCTACATGTAGTGGCATTTTAGAATTTTTCTCTGCTTATTAATATTGTATTTTTTAATACCTCAAACAATTCTGATTTTGATAGAAATGTTGACCACAAACTGTGGCCAACTACTGCAATTGGTCTGTATTTAACATTTTGCAGTGACACATGTGTAAAGATTCTTCCTGAATTGGAAGCAAGCATTTAGCAAAGAGATAATGAGTGGGTATTTTTCAACAAAGCAGGCTGAATTATATTTCATCATATGTTTTAGTACATTGTGTAAAATTAGTTTTGTTATGAATGAGAAATTTCTGTTATGAAAGGTCTCTGTTGATGTTTTATTATAATTTATATCAAGACAATTATAAAATGTTGTTTTAGTGGGTAAATGTATGTTCTCTCTGTTATGCCCCACGTGATAGCGGGTGGAGTGGCTTACATGTTAAGGTCATATTTTTTGTAAAATTTGCAGAATATTATTAAATATAAATGTAGTTCAAAAATCATTTGAAGAGGGTACATGGTACATGGTACATGTACTAACCTTTTGACCTTTCCTTAAAAATCTGCTGATACCAGGATTTTTTATGGTTTTATTGAAGGGCTTGAAGATATTGAGATTTAAACAAAATGAATTTCATTCCTTGATAAAATGTTGCACTAGTCTCCAGTTATTAACCAGTTAACATGAGTGGTATTTCAATATATGGGAGGTGTAGTGTCACAGAATGATTTTTAATTTGTTTATTTACAACCAAAATGCATTTGTACAAATACCAATTACCTTTCTTCAACTGTCTGCTCTTTTTTGTTTGTTTTATTTTCTTTTCCTATTGTTTGTGATTTTGTTTTCATGTCTCTTTACAAATCTTTTATGTTTTAAAATTGGGTTGTACACATACAAAATTGTTACAAAATAATATTATAAGATAGCTAGTAAATTTGTCTAATCAAATTCAACTGCACAAGCGTGCTTCATATTCCTAATGTGCATGGACATGACGTCAGCAAACAAATCCCTTGAGAAAAAATTTTCCATCAGGTTGAAAATGTTATAAAACAATTGGTTCATATGTCAGCTGTGCGTTCATCAATATATGAAGCACTTGGGAAGTTTGGAGAGCACTCAAGAAGCTAGAGTTGCTCTTGGCTACACCTTGAGCAACTCTTATGCATCTTTCGTGCTCTCCAAACTTCCCACAAGCTTCATATCTCGATGAACACATGCTGGCGTATGAACCAATTGTTAACTGTGATGCATAAAAATACAGCTTGCAATCTTAAAAGGAAGTAAAGGTAAAAAGGTAAATTTTTTTTAATTTGCAGTCAGCTAGTTACAAGCAGCAAACTGCAAATACAAAATAATAATCAATTACAATAATATGTTCTTTTTTTGTTCGTTTTTTTATTTTTTTAGAATAACGTAGGTGCTCTATGGTTTTTATAATAACTAATTTCAACAATGTTTTTTATGTTTGGTTATGACATATTCCAAGAAGATTGTTTTAAGCATAGTAAAAAAGCTTGAAACATTCTCAGGTTTAATTTCACAACTAAAATGGTGACCATTCATCTATCATTACTGCAAATTACTGTTGTAATCATTGTTGTGCTTATTAAATGTCTTCAAACCCCTTAACCCTTTTACAAAAATATGAATCTCAAAAATTTGTTATAATTTACTGTATCAGAAGCATAGGTAATGTGCTTCTTTCTCTACACCATTACTTATTTCATATACACTAATGTACAAAGTCATGTACTTTGTAAATTCATCTATTTTAACTTTTGAGATGTAACCTGTTGTATCATCACATAATGGACAGTCTTAATTCCTTAGAGACAAAAATGTGATCAGGTTGAATGATTTGTTTACATTTACTTCTTCCTCAAAATTCTAAACTATTTTCAGATGTAAGTGGTTTTGATTGGCCCCATACAGGGGGCTGTAAATTATTATTCATAAACCCCAGAGTCTTCACCAAGTGAACTTGAAACTACATAATATTGTACATGCACAAGTGTATGACTTTTTTTGTACTCTGAGTATTTATGTTATGATACATGTAGTGTAAGAGCTCTCAGTTATTATCACCATCCACTTCATACGCTTTAAGTTCTGTTTACTTTCTTTTTGAAGGCACATCATTTACCTCCTTGCACTGCGCAAATGTTGATGGATACGCAAAGCAACCTCTGGAAGCTGCACCTCTGGGCTCCTTAGGGTGTCCATAAGGTCAATAATTGTGAATTCCGGGTGTGTCGCTTTGATTGTTTCCAACAGTTGTCCAGTAGCAGGCTTTTCCATGGACTTTAAGTTTTCCCAGTAATTAAGGTTATCCTGATTTACCCCCAATACCTTGCCCACTTTTTTCCAGCCGTATTGTCCACTGCACGTCACTTCAAGTGTCTTTACGATTATGTCCTCAAGATCAGGCGATATGTCTGATAAACGAACACCTGCAATTTTTAAGAACATTTTGTCAAGTTAGTGACTAAATATTGCTCATTACGGACTGCGACTGTGGGTTCTATAGTTACTCAAAGATTTATGGAGAAGTTGTGGTTTTATAATCACTTTTGCTTTACAAGAAAAACTCGAATTATCACACTTGTTTTCATCGAGTAACAATTTGGTTTAGTTTATCATAGAATCATTATGAATAAAAGATTAGCACTCTGTTTTGAAATTATGATGACTAACTTTCAAGGTCAGAAGTAGTTGTGTATTCCTTTGAAAGTGTGCCTTCCAAATTGCCTCTGTTAAGGGTGACTCCTTGATAGAGACCTAAAAAAAAGTACAAAGACAATAAAGATATTTTAAGTAACTCAAACGTTTTACTTTCGCTTTCCTTGGACCCTCGCAATGGAACTTAACTAGTGCCATCTATTGTTTGCATTGAGCATGGGTATTTTTTGTGCATAATGTTATGCGTAATTGGTGCCTACACGTATGGCTTTTCCTGTTAGACCAGAGCCGGCCATACGAACTTGTTGTGATTTGTGCTTGTCTGTGTAGTAGTTTTGGTCCTGGTTGAATGAATGGCCTAATCTCGTTCAGTACAGATGAAAATAGTGATCACAGTCATTACTACGTAGAGATGAAGACATCATTCGCGCCTAACGTGTTGCTACTTTTGAATGAACATGAAGACCTTTTTTCTGATAAAAAACCGTTGAGTTCAACTAAAGTCTCACGAATGACCTCTGATTGTTGAAAATCATCAATCGCCGTAATTAACTATTGATATCTAACTACTACGTACCCTTTACGTGCTAATTGTACCCCCTCATGTTAGACACTGAATACTCCTCTTGTTTTGATTCTTCCATACATCTTTTTCTGGTAATATTCTCATCATTACTGAGGTAAAGTTAATCAAGTGTTTCTAATACACCATGGGAAATTAGAGTATTCTGATCAAAGATATGAATGCCGGCGTTTCTTAAAGTTTACTTGTAGTAGTGTAATTTTTAACTATTCTTCTTTCGTTCCAATATCTAAGCCCCGTTGTATGTCGTTTTGTTTATCAAGTTTACTTTCTTACCGGTTTGATATGTATTATCTCCCAATAGCGACTTGTATTCTTCTGCACTTGTCGGATTTATCTTTATACAACAAATCACTTCACACCTACTTTGCCTTTTACAACAGAAGCATGCTATCATCACGCTCACTGAAATCAGCGCCAAAATAAGTATGGCTACAAGTACAGTTAGAGTTTTCACAAGTGTTGTGAAGTTTATTCCAAAGTAATTTGAAGCGGTTTGAAGTTTTGTCTCCATAACATTCATTTCTTTGGAAGTGGTTCCAAAGCTCTCGTTCGAATGTTTGGCGTTAGCCACTGCAGCGCGCGAAATGCTTGGAAGCGAAGGGGTTTGTTCGGTAGCCATTTCATTTCCACTTCTTTCCAGGGCTTGTTGAACCTCTCGTGTAACCCTCGTTCTTTTTAACATCTCCTGTACATTAAATGCCGATTTTGGTGGGTTTTCTGAAGTGTTACTGCTACGGACATTTTGAATTGGCCCTGAGTTTGAGGGTGTCTTTCTCTTGGGAGTGTTAAGCCTCGGGGGATATAAAGCCAACATTTGAGGATCGCTTCCCTTGGTTTTTATTTCTAGGGTGCAGTTTGTTCTTAAACATTGCCCTAGATTAATACACTCCAGTGTAGCAAGGCGTTTCGTCCCGCAACACTTAAAACATTTTTTGCAAACATTTTCTGTCTTATTCCAAGGATACGTTCCACGAGGGCAGGGTCCACATCGTGCATTTTTCCAAGCTAAACATGGACTGATGGTTTGTTTCGGACTACATTTCTGGCATGGGAGACAAATGCCTCGGCCTTGGCTATCCTTGTAGGCATTCGACGGGCATACTGTGCAAGCTATTACGGCGTTTTGCTGTATTTTGCTACCACATGGTGGAGTTAGTTGTCGCCCCGGGGGACAATCAGAGCAAGGTTGGCATCTGATTGTCGTATTCTGTTTACCAAGAATTTGGTATGATAACGCTGGGCATGTTCTATCTGGATAGCTGTTAGCTTGGGGAAGGTTCCAAAGAGTCCAAACCTGTTTAAGTGGATAGTAAGAGGTGAACATACGGCCAGACATTGCACTCTGTCCATTAGATATGACTCACTTCTGAAATGGATGCAGTCGAACCTGTATTAAGCGGTCATTCACGGAGAATGGCGGGGTAATGGCGGAACCGCTTAATAAAGGTTGACTGCCAAATACAGGTTCCACAGAATAGCATAGGGGTCCAACGCCATAAAAACCGCCATTTTGTAGTAATAGTCACAAGAGGAAAGATTATGTTTATTGCGCTGAGACATCTACAATCAAAAGTGTCAAAATTGATTTCGGGATATAAACATTGTACAAATTCGAATCGAGAGATTATTCTTAGTTTTATATAAGTGGTTTTGGATTAAGTGACCATTGCCGGTAAAAGTAAATGACAACGCAAACAGGCCATGGGGGACCACGACCGCTTAATAGAGGCGGCGTCGACAAAATCGATCTGTGAAAGTGACTACATGGAGTTTTGGGGCGAAAAACTTTCAAATGGGTCTGCCCTCCATTATGTCTCGCAGACTCTATTTTGGCTTGTTACATAGCATCTCTAATTTTTATTAAATATAATTTAATTTTTCATTCCCTTGATCCGTGATCCGATTCGTGAGGTTTTTGGGCCGAAAAAAATAAAAATTTCAGTTGGACCTGCGCTCAATTATGTCACGCGACTTTATTTTGGCTTGTCACGCAAAATTTTAATTTTATTTAACATGATCCGATCCGTGATCCGATCCGTGATCCGATCCGTGATCCGATCCGTGATCCGATCCGTGATCCGATCCGTGATCCGATCTATGGTCCGATCCGTGATCCGGTCCGATCCTGGTTCTGTTGGCGCCGCAATAGAAGTGAAAATGACGGTACTCACGGTGACAGCTTAATACGATCCCGCTTAATACAGGTTGAGCTGAACATCCTCTCAACACCTTTATCTCAAATGACATCAACTCGGTCAAGTAAAAGCAGTTCGTGGCCCACAGCATATCCTTATACGTTGCTCAGTTTTTAAGAAGAGAAGGCAAACAGGATGCAACGAATCGCCATTTCCGAGCGCAAATGACGGGCACGTGATTTTCCAAATGGTACTTTGCCCTTTCGCTTAATATGGATGGTCTCATGATTATCATGAGTGATTGTGATCCTTTCACCATTTCCATGTGACTGATGTCGAATCGCTTTCTGAATTGCTAGTTCGGAGAATTAACGATATTAAGAGTGTCTGTAACCAGACCACGAGATGCCGCCGAGAGGCGAAATAAAATGTATCTAAACGAAAGGTGTACTTGAAACATCAAACCTTAATCACAACATCCTGCTTTAAAATAGCGTGAAACGGAAGGTATTTGAGTGCATGTAATTGTTTCCGTGACTTACTCGATGTATTTTGTCAATTTGCCTCAAGTTGTTCAATTCATGAAGCGCGCAGATTGTGGGAAAAAAGGTAAGTTATCACTTACAAAGCAAGTTATGAAGGCAATAGCGATAAACTTCCTGATAAGCTCCAGAATCTTTGTAGACCACCAAATAGATAGCTTTACCCTGTCAAATTTTATCGTGTAAATAGGATCTGCTTTTAACTGTATGCCTCTTGAATTTGTGGGAAGTATCGAATCCTGCAATTAGAAAAGAACGACAGCGGTGCATTAAAGTTTAGCAACGTGACATCGACCGAGGAGTACAGCTGGCGAGGAACTTGAGTTCGAGGTGCTGACATTTTAGAGACATGAACGATCCAAGAAGTCTTTGATAAGTCATCGTCCACTATGCATGTATATGTATTAGGCGTAACCTACAAATTGTTTTTATTGGTGGATTGACGATAGAACTGATAAACGTCAAGCAGCATTTAGCGTTACGTCCTTGTTTGCACAGCCTTGAGTATCGTATATCTATGTTCATATGTTAATGTGCTTCCTTCTACAAATATTTAAAATACATGTCACCCTCTTTGGAATCACGAAACTTGATTTGAGCCAATATCAGCCCATTTTGTTCAGTCCTTAGATTCTTTTCACTTAAATGTAACGGCACATATGTCTGTAGCAGCACGATTTCTAAGGCTTAAAGCTTGAATCAAATTAAAATTAGTATATGGAAGATGTAAATATAAAGCGCAGAGTTTAAATATGTTTTCAGAGTTATGCTACGCTCTTATTAGTAATCGCTAATGGAGACTGATACCTTATGATGTTTCCCCATTTGACTGTTGTGAACTAAACGATTACTCAATGACTTGTTCGACGTAAAAACCAAATCTTCGTCAACCTATTTACCGAATGCCTCGTGTGATCGAAACACAAGAAATCGAAACTATTGCCCATTCCTTTACGGGCATTTTGGGGACTCCCCTTTGGTATCATAGCAACAGAAGCTGAAAAAGCTGTTAGGCTCTGGTGGTTTTGCTTGTTGAAGGATTCCATTAAAGCTCTTCCGACGATGTCCGCTTGTTCGGGATCGAGTGGTCTGATCGCTGATTCAACTTTAGCCATAATCTCTGTAGCAGGTATGAAGTAAGAAGTTACTACGAACTTCAGGCCTTTCTTCAGTAGGGCAGTCTCGGAGTCGCTAAGGGACTTAGAAGATAGTCACGCAATCCAAACTTCCTAAAGTACTTCTTGTTCTATGTACGTAAGATCTTTAAAAAAGTCATCACACCTCGAAATAATTTTATCAATTTGTAACGCCACCAAGTTCTTAAAAGTTGCCGTAAAGAGCCCACGCAGCAAGTTTAGCGGGGGCCATAACAAAGAACACGTTAACTGTAATAATGTGCCAACGGAAATCTTGATTTTAATTCCCCAAATTTAAACGTGGTTAAAAATAGCAGGGGCGTCGTTTATACTGTTAAGAAGTTTTTCAACCCTCATTAAACGATTCTCAAATCAAAGTTATTATTAGTGCAATCAAATCTCTACCGCTGCTCATGATGTTTTCTGCTTCCTGAACCTGATATTCGATGTTTTTTCCAAACCTGCAGAAACATCACGGTATAAGACCAGTTCACTGAGCTGAATGGAAATGAACAAAGCACCACTGCTCACTGAAAATAAAATCAAGGCAGCGGCTGATATTAATTGCGCATCAGCAGTCCTCTTTCAGTTAATTTTCAATATTGGAAAATTCGTCAGCAGTGTCAAGAAGAGGAGGTCTGTCTGATCTTTCTTCTCGTCAAGGTTTTTAAATTGCATTCCTGTTCTACGAAATCAACTTTAAATAAAGCAAAACGGACATTTAGCACCAGCATACAATACATATGCCGAAGCTCCTCTTACCTCCATATCAGAACTAACTGTGCATATTAATAAACGTAAAAGAGTATGTAGCACAAATTACTCATATATTCAATATGCTCTTACTTTGTTCGCTAGCCCGAACCTTCTTTTACTTAATTTATTCCTCTTGTTGATGAACGACTTGCTAGAACCCCTAATTTATTTCTGTTATTCTTACTTTTTAATAAAGCATATTACTAGAAGCTGATGTTTCTTAAGTTTGAAAGTCTTTCTGAATATCTTACGTGTCTTCTTTACTGCTCTATTTTTCCCATGATAATTGCCCATATGTATCGTGTTCAATATTCATGGTTGGAACGAACAGTGGAAGAACGATGGGAATAAATCAAGTGCGGGACAAAAAGTTAGACAAAAAGCAAGACAGGAGTGAACGTTCTTAATTTGGATCCATTTCAGTCTTCATGGACGAAAACGGTTGCAGACAGTCGAAGAAATTTTAACCGACGCTTTAACTGAGCACTGAAAGTGAACTGCAGAATATACTGAGCTGCAGGGGGTGGGCAGGCTCGTTTTCTTTTTTCCCAAAGAAGGCCGCTTTATGCTGTAATGTTACAATTTTTCAAGAGAAGCTACATTTCTTTCTTCCTGGAGTTAACGTGGATTGAAATGAATGTGTGGATTCGCTCATTTTTCAAGTACGCGTTGATTAAGTGGTATCATTTAATTGAACTTTCAACTTTGCATTTAAATTTTCTTTAGATAAAAATATAAATTGTATTAAAGAATGCGTGGAAACCACATTTTAGTTCCTCGGCACACGGTGCCGAATTATCGTGTCGGCAACATTTCCAAGTTTTACTTTAGGTCTGTTGAGTACAGCAATAAGATCCGATATAGTCTTTCCTTGACTTCCCAATTTCTCAAGTAATCGTTTAGTTGGGCTTTCATCTTTAAGAGTTCCTAAGTGTTCATAGTATTTGAATTCTGTAGGAGGAATTCCAACCGCGTTTGCTACTATCTGCCAACCGAATGTCCTGCTATGATGTACAGACTGTACGTCACCCTGTGGAACATCCAGACGCATCACCAGTTCATCCAGGAGGTCTGGGGGCATATCTGCTAGATTGAGATCTAAGATAGAATCGATTTCAATTCTTTAGTATTGTTTCTGTCATGTTTTGGTGTCTTGTTTCAAATATAGAGTTGGAGTGAATTTTTAAGATCTATGATTTTTCAGAGATGATAATGTTCATGAAAAAACTTCGCGCTTCTGATTGGCTGAAAGCGAGTGCAAAGTTGTAACACGAGTGCAAATTACAAATAGCGCGAGCTGTCAAAATTTTGTCTGTCTTGATTTATTGTGATGCTTTGTTCATGTAAATTACATGAAAGCCTGGTTCGCACCAATGAAAGAAAGACAAAACGATAAAAGCGTTGTGACAAGGCAAGGTCATTCCTTCGTTATCTTCCAGTGTGAAAAAGTAGAAATAACCACATCGGTACAACATTGTGACAGTATGTCAGGAATATTGATATGAAGACATAATCACTTAATATCAACCTAGCTAGCAACCTAGACATAATGACATAATGAGAAAATTGATTTTTCCTCGGTGCCTTTGTGTCCTTATTCTATTGCGTCGTGTGTGTTGATCAGATGTAACTGATCTTGGTTTCCTTACCCTGTGACACTGTAACAGTGCTTGCTTCGTTGAGGGTCTCATCGGTAGTTTCTCCTTCTGCACTGTCCAAGGTGAAACCTAAGTAGTAATCATGAAAATATAATAATATATTTCGAGAGGAAAACTATTTAGAGAACTTATTTTGAACAAGCAGCTAAGAAATAAAGCTCACTAGGAACGATATGACAACTGCGTGGCATAGTTGCAATTTTCTCAGTTTGACGTAGATCTCGATAGATAGCGGTATCGACTTAGTTGCTATTAATATATTATGTTCTGACCCATTATTCTTCTTACCTGTACTTTGAGGTTCTGTGGAGTCTGATGACGTTCTTTTTAACTCCTTCGGGTCTTGTAGTATCTTGCAGACACACTTTTTGCATAAGGTATACACGAGAAGTCCCATAAGTACCAGAAAAACAGCGGCTAAAATTGTTCCGGCAAAGCTGCCGAGGGCCGAGTTCAGGAATTCATTTTGCGCAGCGTCATCGTGTGGTGTCACCTCTCCCAACTCTGTTACTTCTTTTAGTGTAGTCTCAGTTGTTTGAAAAGTGATGTAATTTTTTCCAAGTGACGCTTGAGAAGAAACCTGCTCTTCCAATTCAATCGCACGAATTTTGGTCCCGTTGAATCTCCTTTTCGGTGTTAAAAGATGGTTTGAATTTTTACTTTGGTCCGTTATTGGCTGCTCAACCTCCTCCTCCTTTATGTTTTTAATGGGAGGAATCCTAAGAAAATCTAATTCTTCTTCTAGTTCATCCCAGTAGGAATTTTTTCCCGTTTGGCTGTCCGTGTTCTTCAAAGACTGATCACTTTTTGATTCAACTTCGGCCTCCAAGTCTCGTTTTACTATAGTCAATGAAACATTTTTGTCGTTGGAGTCCAATTGGTCAAATTGGCTCATATTTTTCATACGACTTTGCTTCAGTGACATAGTGGGTTCTTTCGTTAACGCTTCGTTGTTCATAGCATTCGTAGATCTTGCAATCTTTTTATTCAAATATTTCCTTGTTTTTGTCGACCGTGCGCAACTTTCTCTACATTTTTTCGATATCAAGCATCCTATTTGAGCCGCATAACTTTTTGGACAACAACCAGAGCAAGGTTTGCATCCGTGTGTTTTTTCATCTTCGTAGTGTCTCTTTGGACAGTCCTGACATTCTGTGTTTTTCTCTGTGGTGCAAGAGCTAATGATGTTTCTTGATTCACAATCACTGCATATCTTGCAGGACCTACTGTCGACTTTGTCTGAATATGTTCCTGGTTTGCAAGGTATGCATTCACCAGCAGGTTTTGTATCCAATGTAATACCACACGGTGCTGAAGGTTCCTTCCCAGGAGGGCATACAGGGCAAGCGAAACATTTGATCCTTCCGCTTTCATCTTCATGAACAGTGTAAGTCTCTGGGGGACATTTAGCAAGACCGTCTGGGTAAAATTCACTGCTGTCTTGCAAATCCTCTAAAAAATTCCACTGCTGTACAATCAATAAGGAAAGAGAAAGTGTCACAACTGTTTTTGGAATATTTAGCTCTATTGCCTTATTTGTCGAACTATCACTTATACAACATATGAATAAGAATAATTGTTTGAATATAATTACTTGGAAGATCAACAAGGCAACTGCATTTTAATTTACTTTCTTTAAGAAAAAGCAACAAATCGCGCGTCGGCTAGTTAAAAAAATTGTGCTTCGAGATAACTAGATAAATAGACAGTTTATTAAAATATTCAAATTACTAGCCTCCTAGGGCTGAATTGCATGAAATTTACTAAAAGTTAAAGTTATGTACACATTTATAAAATAAACAATTTTATGTGCTATAAAACGATTGTAGAAGAAACTACGTATAAAAGTTTTACCGATTGGACATGAATGTGTTCGTGTAACCATTAGTGTGCATTTTTGGCAACCTAAATTGCGATGGTTTTTAAAATTGTATCGATCTGGTAATGCTTTTGGGTGGTAGCAGATGATGGAGTTTATGTGCAGTATTAGATACGACTGAGAGTCAAAGAGTTTATAACACTGTTCTTTGCGCCTGTCTCATTCAAACATCTGATACAAAAGGCCAGGAGAAATTACGAAACCCAGGTAACAGTTGTTATTGCCGTACGCGACGTGGTCAGAGCGAGATATGACTTCGTTCTCCATTAATCAACAGAGCCTGTGCATCCCTCAGATCACGCAAGCTATTAAATTAAGTGACAATATTCGTAGTATTCAATTAAGCGTACGAAATCCTATGCTGAAGCCCATAACGTTCAGTAAGCAATCTGGTTTAAATTGAAATTAAAGCAAATACCATAAATGGCCTCATTTTTTAGGGAGACTAATTATTCTAATATTAGTTTCGTAATAATTCATA